GGGCCACTGCCTGGCAATCAGGGGACGACGGACAGAGACTCTCGCTCGAGGCTCTTTAAAGACTAACCCCTTTCAGAAGCTTTTGCCAACTACGGGTAGGGCGATCCCTGGAGATGTGGGGGAAGCTCCTGGGGAGGGCCCACGTTTGGGGAAGGCCTGGAGGAGACCGTGTGTGGGGAGACGAAGGAGGACCCGGACACACCAGCGAGAACAGGGGCTTTCCCGCCCAGGTCTCCATCTCTCCCTTCTTCTGAGCTGGCGCCTAGAAATTCTGTTTACATTTTGCACTCTGTGCAGTCATGATCCTCAGACTCAGCAGGGTGTGGCCCGGGGGTGTCAAACCTGCGGCACGGGGGCCGGAACAGGCCCTCAGAGGGCTTCCATGAGGCCCGCAGTGGAACTGGCCATCTCCTGCTTCCCGTTCTGCGGCTGCTGCTGCTGCATCCTAGAATCATAGAATGTTAGAGTTGGAAGGCACCTTGCAGGTCATCCAGTCCAACCCCCTGCAGGAGCATAGCCAAAAGATAGCCCTACATACCTACAACATACCCGAGAGATGGTCGTCCGGTGTCCGCTTGAAAACGTCCAGCCAAGGAGCATCCACCACCTCCCGAGGCAGTCTGTTCCACAGCTCAACCACTCTTACAGTTAGGAAGTTTCTCCTGATATTTAGCCGGTAACGACTCCCTTGTAATTTCCACCCGTTAGATCTAGTCCTGCAATCCGGAGCCAGAGAGAATAGATCCGCTCCATATATTCTTCTGAGGAAGATCCATTATTGAAACGTTGTTATAGAATCCGGAGACGACGTTGATTATGTACCTGTATGCACAAGGATTTTCTTATGATTTATTCATGATGTTGTAGTGCTTTAGATTATGATTACGTTTTATGACACACGTGGCCCGGCCCAACAAGGTCTCATTTATGTCAGATCCGGCCCTCATAACAAATGAGTTCGACACCCCTGGTGTAATCAAACATGTCAAACGTGTGTCTCAGGAGCCAGAACCAGGAAGTCCAGGTGTCCTATCCAGCCTGTGAGCAACTGGTGAAACCAGTCTGAATGTGGACTGGAAGGGCCTATATTAGGGTACTGCAACCCCTTCTTGAGTTCCTTGCCTTCCCCAAATGTCAGCCCTCCCCAGGGGCTCCCCCCCCTCCCCCTGGTCTCCAGGGATTGTCCAACCTGGACTTGGCAAAAGCTTCCGAAATGTATTCGTCTTTAAAGAGCCTTGAGAGTCTCTGGTTCTTGTGCCCTGATTGTCAGGCAGTAGCTCTCTGTGCTGTTGCAAAACTTCTTGTGCACATTGAGCAAAGGGTGGTTAGTGAGGTGTTCAGGAAGGATGGGGGGTCCCGGTCAATGGTAAAATATCTCCGATACCTGGGAGGACCTGCGGTGGCTCAAGTGGTTAAGACGCTGAACTGCAGGCTGTGGAAGGTCAGTAGTTCAGCAGTTCGAGACCCGAGTGTGCCGCATGACGGAGTGAGCTCCCGTCTCTGGCCCCAGCTCCTGCCAACCTAGCAGTTCGAAAGCGAGACATTGCAAGTAGATAAATAGGTACCACTTTGGTGGGAAGGAAACAGCGTTCCGTTCGCCTTGGTGTCTAGTCATGCCGCCCACATGGCCACGGAAGCGTCTCCGGACAGCGCCGGCTCTTCGGCTTGGAAACGGAGATGAGCACCGCAACCCTAGAGTCGGATTCGACTGGCTTTCGAGCAAGGGAGACCTTTACCTGGGATTACATTTTACGGCACGCGTCGCCCAGCCACAAAGTGACATTTTCCTTTCCTTCCCACCAGTTCCTGACATTCCTCTTCTCCAAAGAGAACATGGTGATGGACTCCAAGTACGAGCGGGTGGTGCCGGACGACATGAACTACCCCGTGTCTCAGTACTGGATTTCATCCTCCCACAACACGTAAGAGCTCCCCTGGACCGCGCCATCATTTGCTCAGGGGGATGAGCGCAGACCGTTTGGGACATTAAAAGTCGTTCAGGTTTAAGTGGCGCCGAGGGGAGCCCGCACTGCTGGGGTGGGGGTGGGGGCGGGGGCTGCTCCGCTCACCTGGCTGCCTGCCACCAGTGGTTCCCAAAGACAGTGTCCCACCAAGACCCCACCTGAGCAGTTCAGAGCCAGTTTGGTGTAGTGGTAAAGAGCGGCGGACTCTAATCTGGGAGAACCGGGTTCGATTCCCCACTCCTCCTCCACATGCAGCTGCTGGTGTGACCTTGGGCTAGTCACAGTTCTCTCAGAGCTGTTCTCTCAAGAGAAGTCCTTGAGAGAGCTCTCTCAGCCCCACCTACCTCACAGGGTGTCTGTTGTGGGGAGGGGAAGGGAAAGGAGATTGTAAACTGCTCTG